GTGGTTTACATGTTGCTTCCCTGTTACACCACAGACAACCGTGACCCGGCCATTCTATGCGCAACGCAATTTGCTTCCCTTTGCAATAGTTATCCCGAGGAAGCGCCTAGACCGTGGCCATTTACGTCATAATCGTTGACCGAAGTACTCCTGTTTGCTGTACCGACTATCGGTCGTGACATTGGCGCAGCCTACATCCTAGCCAGCAGTTGGTGTCCTCAGACATTAACATTCTCACCTCTTCATCGCGTCGGTGACAACGTCCAGCCGCACATGCCTACATCTCTCACATCACCCACCTCCCATTTCCAATTACCTGAGGCTGACTGCGCGCTATCACGGCCGATGCCAACGTCACGAAATTGAGAGGGTAACAAACGATTTGGCATCGAGATCAAACGTATGTGAATGAACTGTTTACGAACAACAGTGCGAATCTTATATTATCATTAAACGGAACACTGATTGTTGGAATCTCCGCGGTGTGGAATTTGGCTTTTACCCCGATAATTACTTTCGTTTCCTAACTTTGAACATTATGAACCATGGATTACGCAGATATACGTGCTAGTTTACATCATATTCCATGTTTTACGTCAGAACAAACCTTGTCTACAGGCCGAACCTTGAGTTTTTTTGAGGCCTTTTTCACTGTGGCCTGTGTAACGCTAATCCGCGCCAAGCAGGCCGCCTGGTCGTATTTAACCAAAAGTTTATTCAGCTGTACGACTGGTAACAGTGGCATGTTTTTTCTGTCCAATCGTGTGCTGAGGCATTTTATTGTGTTCTCGCGGCGGTATCAATTTGGTGTTAGGTCGTATTGCTAACAAACCAGATTATCTGGTTCCTCGTGGAATGGACGTTCATCACACCGATATTTAGGGTTCCCGGAATTACTTCCAGCTGCTATGCAAGATTGTGCATATGGTCACCACAAAGATCATCACAGTTGTGGCAAGCGTATTGACTTGTGCAACGGAGGCGTCAGCCCTATTTGCCGATCCAAATACCGTAACTAAACTAACTTCAATAGCTCAGGAAAGCAATTGCTATGCTATTACAACTTACTAACAATGCTGTCCTCAGTTTAATCGGAGTAATTATATGCAAGTGTTTGTCCAATCTTTCGACCGAGTGACTTAAAAATAGGAAGCATATACAAATGCATTTTGGATTACGTTTGCTTGCAAGAAGGGTCGAGATTTAAACTTAGCAGTACCCAATGGATCCGAACCGTCGCAACGAGACTGGACCTTAACGTCGTGCGACGGTTTGTGTACCACATTGTCCCATTGATCTATACTGGGTGATGTCTCCGGGCCCCTTGAGTGCTACTCCTACTAGGTTGGTCAAGGGTGAGAGGTCAGACAAACTCAGACTCCTGGTCCTCCAGGTTGGGGGTTTGAAATGGGATGGCGTCCATTTCTGTACAACTAAAACATTGACACCTCCCCGCTGCCTTGCGGATAGGCTTTTGAGCCAAAGGCTTTGGATGAGGACCCTAATCGTCCTCCTGTCTACGTCTGGGCGCCCTGGCAGCATCTCAGCCCACATACAACCATGACATTTTCTTCAATCATAAACTTCATCCTGCATCGGCCGCCGCGCAGATTAGCAAGGGTCCCCTTATCTGCTGCATACAACAGGGCGGATAAGCGAAAACATGCTACTGCTGGCGCCTCCCTTCTTTCTCTTACACCTTTTTCTCTTACTCCCATCCCCACCCTCACTACTAACCTTCCTTCTATAATTCCCAGCTTAATTGACAGCAAACCAAGTGCCACTGCATTAGAACCATCTGCAGCCATAATCCCACCGCACCTATCGGACGCCTGTCGGCAAAAGATCGTTATAATGCCACGCTAGCCCCGTTTCAATGGCGACATTCAGCGTTCACACTCTAAGACAAACAGTTCAACAGGCTGCACTCGCACGCACCTTGGACGTGCACCTTGACGTGTGTTGTGTGTCCGAAACTAGGATCATTGACCCTAACGGGGTTATTGAATTAACTGTACCCCGCTTATCCTGTCGTTAGTGGTTTCGCGCATCCGGAGACGCCGATGCAGCACTCATGGGTCAAGCCGGTGTAGGTATCATTCTCAGCTCCAAGGCTGAGCCATCGTTGGTTGATTGGATTCCAGTGAACAGCCGTTTATGTGCAGTCCGTTTGACGACATCAGTAAAAGTTGATTCACGAAGTAGTACAAAGCGCTGTTTGTTTGTGATTTCCGCTTATACTCCCACTGACTGCAAATCTAATGCTGTCAAGGACACATTCTATCACTAGCTGAACGCGCTACTACGTAGTGGTACTAGTCCAGATATCATAGTACCTGCAGGGGATATGAACGCACAAGTAGGGCGGCTGAGCTCTTCAGAAGCTCAGCCGGGTGGTAATTGTGAGCTTAACTCCGAACGGACTGACAACGGTGAGCGTCTGCCGCAAATGTGCGGAGCATCAGTTTTTACTTAGTACCACTGCTTTTAGACCCAGTGGGCGTCGAAGTGCCCCATTGGCGTCCTCCTGTAGCTGGCCATCGATGGACCCAAATTGACCACATAGTCATAAGTTACAGATGGCGTGGTTCCATCCTGGATTGCTGCTCGTACTGGAGTATCTGTGTCGACTCGGATCATGCCTTGGCACGTTGTCGTTTCTCCATGAACCTTACCGGGAGGCGCACCAAGCGTCTCCTACGATTGGCGATGGAGAAATCGTCTCAGTCCTCGGTCCGGCAAGTCTATCAAGAAGCACTGCATACCGAACTTCCGCTGTCCTGTCCTAATGACGCTGAGCTTCAGTGGAATAATATCTCGGCCGCCATGCACGATGTACGAGCATCTGCTTGTGGTACTATTGATCGTCACCACACCAGTCACTGGCTATCCGAGAGGTCGGTGAACCTGTTGGAATCTAGAAGAAACCTCCCGGCTGGCTCTGAGCACAATGTTACTAGAAGGACCATTAGACGCGAAATGAAGTGGAGACTGCGCGCTGACATAGAGGCCTGGTGGACTGGTAGGGCTTAGGAAATGGATGAGGCAGGAGCAGTAGGCAATTGCCACAAGCTCTTCCAGCTGGTCTGCGCCACTGGTCCCAAAAACCAGTTATCTGTGAGACAATCAGAGACAGCGCGAGTGCGCGGGAGCGCTGTATGGCTCGTTGGGTGGAATACTTTCAAGATCAGTTCAACTGGCCCCCTGATCAAGGACCTCTTTCTACTCAGGTGATGCAGGACGAGCCATGGACGGTTAGTTTAGAGCCTCTGTCAGAAGCCTAGTTCCGAAACGCGATCACAGCCCTTAATCCTTTTCGTGCCGCTGGCCCGAATTCCCCCCACCTGCATTATTTAAGGATGGAGGTGAGGTCCTCTGCAGAACACTGACCTCCTTATTCGAATGCACCTGGAAGGAAGAGAGTGTCCCGGCCAATTGTACTGAATCGATTATGGTTGCAATATACAAGAAGGGCAGTCGCACAGAATTTTATAACCACAGGGGTATTATCCTAAAGCCAGTTGTGACAAAATTACTGGTCTCGATTCTCGTTCGTCGCCTCACTGCGGAACGGGAATCTCAGATTAGGGAAGAGCGGCTACAGACCATATATTCACTTTGCAGCAGGTGCTACAGCAATGTCATGCATACCGCAAATTGACAATAGCTGTGTTCCTCGATTTCAAGTGTGCGTTCGATTCAGTCGATCGATCGATACTGTTCAAACTACTTGCGCGAAAAGGTGTTCCCACGAAATATGTGAATATCCTTCGTGCTCAATACTCGAACACTACAGGCCGCGTCAGGGTCTACGGTGATCTATCGGATAGCTTTCCGACCACAAGTGGCGTTCGTCAGGGTTGTCCGATTTCCCCGTTTTTGTTCAATTTCGTTGTGGATTCTATCATGGAGTGTTCCCTTGCGGAATCTCACGATGTAGGCGTTGAAGCGCTGCCTGGTAAAAGGTTAGTTGGCCTAGATTATGCGGGCGATGTCGTCTTATTTTTCTACGATGTTGGGGCGGCACAATCAACCCTGAATAGCCTGTCCTGTTGATATGCACTTCGCACCTTGAAAGTGCAAAGTGTTGCTGCAGGACCACTAGTCACTTGATGACCCCTTGACGCCTGCTAACGAGGAACTCGAGGTGGCTGATCATTTCACTTATCTTGGCAGCTGCATCAGCAATGATGGGCACAAAGAAGCTGAAGTCAGTTCACGCATTATAAAAGCCAGAGCTGCCTTCTTGAACCTGCGGCATCTTTGGCGACAAAAGGGAGTTACCCTCCGTCTGAAAGGCCGGGTATACAAGGCCACAGTGAGGCCCATTCTGCTCTATGGTAGTGCGACTTGGCCCCTGCGGTCTGAAGATCTGAGGCGCCTTCAAGTCTTTGATCATCGGGGTCTACGAAGCATTGCTGGAGTCGGATGGCACCAGCGTGTCCGCAAGGATGATGTACGTAAGCGAGTACTAGATGGTGATAATCATGCTAGCTCCCTAGAACAACTGATAGCACTGAACAAGTTGCGTTGGCTCGGACACGTGCTACGTAGGCCTAGTCACTGCTTACCTAGGAGGGTTTTGTTTATTCTGCCAGATGTATGGTGGCGCAATGCTCGAGGTGGACTGAAGTTGACTTGGCAGCGGGAAATGAAGTCACTGACGATCAAGCTGGGTGCCTTGACCCTGGATGTTTGCTCAAGGCGTTCTTTAGTTCATAGATCCTCATGGTTGTATGGTAGCGAAGCATCAGTTCAAATGGCTGATGTACTGCCGTTGATGATGATGGATGGATCCGAAACCGAGGAAAAGAGTGGATTTCTTTGGTTGCAAGTGTTTCCGGTCTCTTAGGATACACCATCTAATGTGCCTATCACTGGCATGTCGAAAGACAATAAGAAAAAACAACCTGTGTACTGCAAGAGTGATGTGCCATTTAAACTCCACACATAAAAATTTTTTAATGAGTGCACATTTAGGTATTTACGCATTTACTCACCACGTGCATCAGTGTTTGGACATATACTTCAGCTTCATGATGACTAGAGAATCTTTGAAGGACGGTTTGGTCTGCAAATACCAATATTTCAATCCATAGCTCCGGAAGCAACATTCTTCTTTTTACAGCTGCAAATGGAGGAAGAATGTTGGTACACATAGTCAGTCTACTGAGGCGTACGGAAGTTTACCTACACAGAATATCCTAGCTGGTTGGCAAGTTGCGTGCAAAAGGATGCTGCAAATGTATATAGTGGAATAGGTGCTCCACAAAGGCAAAACTACATAGGAATGGCCACTTGACCTGGCTGACTGCCGATCCCTTCTTTGTAGCGCAGCACCGGCCTACCAAAAAACCGTGATGTGACCTGCTGCTGAGGTTTACTTTATCCAGTAAGATAAGCAATTCGTTTTCAATCAGTATTTCCATTACTGAAGGTGTCAAAGTCACGTAACTGATGAAGATTGAAGGTCTGACTCCATGAGTTGATCCAATTTTGCGTAGCGGGATAACAACGAAAACATTCCATCACGCAGGATATCCTACCAATTTTAAATGGACCCATAACTGTTTGGCGAAAACAGTGGCAACTCAATTCCACCTTTCATAATGAGCAGGGAGTCATTCCATTAGTTTTGCGTGAGCCGAGGACAATAAGCGAAATAACTGACCAGCGGTTTTTTCAAAGTGGATTCCATTGTGAGTGGATTTTCACCGGTGTGCGCGCTGCGTGTTGGTTCACTAACCATTGCTTCGACAAAGCAATCCCTGTAAGCTTCACAAGGTTCACTTGGTGTGTCGATGTATCTATCATCAGACAGGGTGAGAAAACTGAGAATCAATGCTGCGCGAACTTCGTGTACGAAAGGGTTTTAATATTTTAGTTACTTTGCTAAAGGTATTCAAAGCTATATGCTATCCTAGAATGCTAATTCAGTCATTCTGTAGCCTAGGTTATTCAATAATCTTCACTGGCATTTTGAAAGATTGGCTGTTGTTTGACATCCCAAGTGTGGCTGCGATTGATGTGTATGTTGACAAGGTGCCTACCTGTCTATTGCCCACTACCTCGTCCATACAGGCTTTAGGAGACAGTTGGTCGTTGCTGGAGGGGACGGGGTGCACGGTCCTCGTGGACGTGTTAGGATCAAAGAGTGGTTCCATGCACTCAGTGTGGAGCGGAATACGGTCCAGCCACCATCTTGTGTGCGATTGATTCTCCAAATACATCGTGCTTGTTTTTGCCTGTGAAGGACTGTGAACCGGCTCCTTGATGAAACGTGGCTACCATCCACATGCCTCCCTTCTGTTCCTTCGGGTTTACACTGGATTTGGGTGTGTGAATGGAGCTGTGTGTGGTGCAGCGCAAGCCATCCATGGTCCCTCTGTAGGCGTAGGCGTCCTGTGGCTGGCCACAGTGACAGGCTCATCCGAAACCAGATACCGCCAACCATGTGGTGCAGCGCAAGCCACCCATGGTCTCTTAGCAGGTGCACGCGTCCTGTGACTGTTTTACCGATGCCTCTGTGACAGGCCTATCCGGAACTGGATACTGTCAATCATGTCTAGTGTAAGAAGGATATGTAGAGTACCGTAACCGGTATTTTGCGTGACTTTTGTCAACCATTCATTGTTACTCAGGAATGAGGGGTTAACACTTCCAAAGAAGCACTTCCGCCGGACCGTGTAATCGAAGTCAGATAGAAATCCTCTCTGATAATCTTATGCTTGAAAAGTTAGGTTGCAGTGTTTACAACCGTGTTTAATAATTTATAAGTTTGTTTGGATGCCGGTTGGTGCGCCGTATATACATGTAATGTGCAGAAATTGTTGACCAGCAGATTTCGTAAGCTAGAGTGGTTTATGGACGTTAGTGCGCACAGAGTGCTTAAAGATTGCTACTGCGAGTGATCAGTTCAGTTCACTTACCAAATGCAAAGCAGTTTGTTTCCTTCAAACATTTGAAAAACACGGAACAAAGGCGATAGCTGGTGGATGCATGCTTTTCGTATGGACTCATAAGTAGCATTTTAATAACCGATATGGGTGCAACCAGACAAGCATGAGGTGCAGAACGAATGACAGGATTTCACACCTACGTCGAAGGCAGCTTTAGGATATATATATATATATATATATATATATATCCGCGGGAGAGCCTATGGTGCGCTGAGGCTGGTGGTGGCTAGATCCTGACAGGTGGTCTACCCACTCCTGGTACTGTTGTGCCATTGGCTCATGTCCTGGGCGCCTCATCGTGGCGACAGCTGGGTAGGAGTTGGGTTTCGCTCTTTTCCCTGCTAAGATCCAGGACACCAATCCGCATGAGTCAGTGAACTGACCATGTGCTAGACCCGCTGCAGTTCGGGTGTTCATTTAATCGAAGACGTTGGCTGAGGACACGAGTCGTTCTCTTGTCAGAAGTGGGCGCCCTGCCAGTATCCTGGTCCATCCTCTTCGGAGCTTAAGAAGTGGTCCATGGCCCACTTCCCGTAAAACCTAGCCATGGGAGACAACAGGTCTACGGGTTATAAGCTCACAGCTCGATTGACGTAGAGCACGAGCGCCACGCATTGTTTCTGACGGTGGAAAGGCATCTCCGGGTGTTCAATAGTTTGCTACTGCCCGCCTCAAACCAGGCAGCCCCTGGACAAATTGGTGCAAACCCGCCAAAACCCACCTGCGTCTGGCAGTGTTCGCAGGTACGTACCCTACTACGGACGCAAAACAAATATAAATCGTTCCAGTACTTCCAAGGCTGCGTGTAACGGCCGTCAAGCAGATCCCAATCTGTCTCTACAATCACTATCCCGAGCTGGATCTGCTCCCCACTGCCTTGGGGGTCAAGCTATTGAGCCAAAGGCTCCGGGTGAAGTCCCTCAAGCGAACCTCCGAAGCACAACGACCACCTCGCGTGCGATTGCCCACCAATGCAATCGTATGCCTGCGCGCAAAGCACTCAGCATCGGGTGCTGGAACGTGCGCACACTACTGGACCGGAACTCCAGCGAGCGCCCGGAGCGACGTACTGCAGTCGTCGCAATGGAATCGGCGCGCTACCACATCGATATTGCGGCGCTCAGTGAAACCCGGCTCGCTGTGCAAGGTAATTTGCATGAAGCAGGTGCTGACTACACATTCTATTGGGTGGGCAATGCCGCCACAACACCGCGTGACCATAGGGTCGGATATGCAATATCCGATCGCCAGAATGGTCAAATGGTGGGTGAACCAACGGGGCATCAGCGCGCGACTGATGACTGTTCGCCTACGACTCGGAAGAGGTAAGTTTGCTACTTTTATAAGCACGGTCCGACCATTTGTTATCCTGATGGACACGCGTGATCAATTCTACACTCAGCTATCCTCTGTGATACGGTCTGTGCCAAGGAGCGACCGACTATTTCTGCTGGGTGATTTCAATGCGCGCGTTGGGCGTGATGCATCGGTGTGGATAGATGTTATCGGTTCGCATGACATTGGTTCAGCGAATGCGAACGGTGGCAGGCTGCTCTCACTGTGTGCCACTCACGGTCTGACGGTCACGAACACTCGGTCTGCACTGAGTGCGAGTGATATAGCAACTTGGACGCACCCACGGAGTGGTCACGCTCACCTGCTCGACTATGTCATCGTACGTCAGCGTGATATGCGTAAAGTACGCATGACACGTGTACTGCGTGGAGCTGAGTGTGGCACTGATCACAAATTGGTTCGGACCAAACTGTACATATATTTGCGCAAATGTATGTATGGCACTCCCGCCGTTAATCGGCGTAAATTTAACATCCCTCCCTCGGTACTGTGGCTAAACGTAGTGAGCTGGAGAAGGCGATGGGTGCACGCTGTGTGACGTGGAATTCATAGCCAGAGTGGGCGATTTGTGGCACCACAATCGTGACCAGGCGACAGCTGCTGTTCAGGAGATCATCGGGCGCACAAACTGTAAGCGGCCTGATTGGTTTGATGAGAACAATGCGACGATTGGCGCAATGGTGTCGGAGAAGAGTGCAGCATTTGCTGCGCATGTCGCAGACCCCATTGACTTGGGGAAGAGTAGTAAGTTTCGCAAACTTCGACGGTGACTGACCCGAGAGCTCCGTCGCATTAAAAATGCATGGTGGACGGAGAAGGCGAAACAGATGGAATGCTACGCCGAACGCCGCCAACACAAGGAATTCTTTAACTCCTTGAAGGCGGTATATGGACCGAGATTGGAGCCGCTGAGGACGCTGATCTATGGTAGTTCAGGCGCTACCTGCACACAGACTGCAGACATAATGCAGATCTGGTGGAAACAATTCGACTGTCTCTTGAACAACCGTTCAGAGATCGACTGGCCTACATTGAACGGCCTCAGGCAGCACGATGTGAAGATGAGTCTGGCGAACACGCCGACACTGGATGAGGCGCAGAGAGCACTTGCTCAGCCGCGAAACGGCAAATGTGCCGGAGCCGACGGGATCCCGCCGGAAGTATTGGAACACGGTGGACCCGCGTTGTTGACTGCGATGCACCACTTGGTGCAACGTGTATGGATTGAGGAGGAGATGCCTTCTAAGCTGAAGGATGCCCTTGTGCTACCACTCTACAAGAGTAAAGGGAGCAAGCAATGTTGCTCGAGTTATCGTGGCATCAACTTGCTGAGTTGCGTTTGCAAGGTGATTTCCCGATTCCTGCTCAACCGCCTCGTCAGTCAGGTTGTGGAACCTAAAGTGGCGGATGGGCAGTGTGGGTTCCTTTCGGGTCGCAGCAGTGTAGATATGGTGTTTGCGGCTCGTTAGTTGCAGGGGAAGTGCAGAGAACGACACCAGCCGTTGCACTCGCTTTTTGTTGATTTCAGCAAGGCATTTGATACGGTGAACCGCAAAGCATTGTGGCTGGTGTTGGGTAAGTTTGGTTGCCCGCGTAAGTTTGTAAGTTTAATTGAATATCTGCACAGCGGCATGCGAGCGAGGGTGCAGCTGAGTGGAGAGACCTCGGATGACTTTGCAGTTGTCTCTGGTGTGAAGCAAGGCTGTGTCTTAGCTCCTGCCCTGTTTAATATATATCTTTATGCAATGATGTCTTGTGCTTGTGATGCCCCCTGTGCTTACGGTGTTCGTGTGGAGCACCGTATTTATGGTGG